TTGTGTTAATTGACTGGTGTTGGGGAATATTGAATATAAAGTCTAGTCTAATGGGGGTAGAGTGAGGGTAGAGAGATTATGGATGTTGCCAGTTGGGTAGGTAGGGGGATTCTTGCTTTTGCTTGTCACAGAACTGTCTTATCAGTTTTTCTGTAGATGTGATCTTTTGTTGCTTTCTCTACTTTTCACTCCCACCTTCTCTGTTCACCTTGATTTGGTCTAAAGTTTGGGGAACGTTTGAAATGCATTAGTTAATAAAAAGAGAGTTAAAGAAATGGTAATCCAATGAAAAGTTTTTATTTTTCTAAATCATTTTGTTTGACACAATGAATTATGTTAAACACGTTACAATTTTCAAATAATGATGAAAGATTGCCTGATAATTTTGGTTGACAAGCCTTTATTATTTAAGTTTTTTTTTTTTCGTGTTCGAAAACTTTTTTTGGTTTGAGTAATGTTGAAAATATGTATAGTAAAATTAATTTGAATTTTTTTTATTGCATGTGATCGTTTACAATTATTTATTCTTATCTTGTTGAAGAAACTCATTCTTTGTCGTTATTTTTGTGAAGTAAATATAACCTTTATAGTAGAATTGATATATGCAAAAGTTTTTAAATATTATTTATATTTTCTTCTGTTTCCAATGATATAATTTTCATATGCATTTTTTCACTTGATCTAGTTAATTGTATTTATTTTGATGAATTAAAAATATATTTTAAAAATTTTAAGTTTTTTATTTTTTTTTTTCTAATTCAATACTATTTTATTTTTCATTAACCATTATAGACACATGATATACAATCTCACATGGATTTCACTAATCTTACAAAATAATTTAAACAAATTAAAACATTTTGCTTTTTACTTAAGAAATAAATTAATTTAGATTAAAATATTTAACATCATGTGTACTATTGGTCTTCACTGCACATTTAATGCTCACAAAATTGTGATTGAATAACATCTGTAAAATTGAACGAATTAAATGTGTAGTGAACCACGTAAGATGAATAATAATCTTAAGTGCATAATTACAAAACCTTAAATCCGCTCCTCCCTAGATGAACTATAATATTATAATCTCTGTCAAATTAAACATATATATAAACTTAAATACATATATGAAAATGAGAGCTGATTATGTAAATATATAATTATCATCCAACATGTTTTCTTCATTTGAGTTAAATTTTTATACATATGATATCTCATGTTAGACGTAATCTCATTTAGAAGATAGTTTATCATAAAATATAATGATTTAATACTTGTTAAGTTGAAGTATTAGTTCACATAAATTCTTGTATAAGACTGAATAACCATTAGGTAGATTGAACTATTATATTTTTTTTTAATAAAAATATATACATATGCAATAAATTATCATACTTTTCAAATATTATTTTATTATTCATAAACCATTATAATCACATGATACACAATTTCATATGATTTTCAACTATCTTAGAAAATAACC